TGTCTAAACGAGAAAAAGTTGAGGAAGAGGTGTAAACAATTAGCATGACATATGTGACCCTGGACCACAAAACCAGACTTAAGTGTCAATTTTTCAAAATTGAGATTTATACATCATCTGAAAGCTGAATAAAAAAGCTTTCCATTGATGTGGGTTTGTTAGGATAGGACAATATTTGGCAGAGATACAACTATTTGAATATCTGGAATCTGAGGGTGCAAAAAAGTCAAAATATTGAGAAAATTGCCTTTAAAGTTGTCCAAATGAAGTTCTTAGCAATGCGTATTACTAATCAAAAATGAAGTTTTGATATATATGTATGGTAGGAAATTTACAAAATATCTTCATGGAACATGATCTTTACTTAATATCCTAATGATTTTTGGCATAAAAGAAAAATCGATAATTTTGACCCATACAATGTATTTTTGGCTATTGCTACAAATATACCCCAGCGACTTAAGACTGGTTTTGTGCTCCAGGGTCACATATAAGTGCTATATTTGTGTTTGCTTCTTCTAAGATATACTACAATACTACTGGATGAGGCAAAGACAATGTCCTTCTTCTCAAGGTGGAGATGATAAACAGCTGCACAACTTCTTAGCTGAAGAAATGAACAGAATTAATGAAATACACACCAGGAAGTTGGCTCCAATCCTTAGAGAACCAGTGCCTGAGATTGTCTGGACAGTGATGCTCTAAGAGAGAAAGAAAAAAATGTAAGTGTTATGCTAAATAAACATTAATATAAAAAAAACAATAAAATGTGTAAAAGTTCATACAAAAAAAGAAAGACCCAATAGGTACTACAGAGACATACTCACCCTCTTGCTTTTAAGAACCTCACTGTCTGGCCCCAGTGCGAGCTCAGCGCAAGCCTTATTAAAGTCACCCAGACCCCCAATGGGCATATACTCTTTATCCAGCATCTTAGAGGTAATCAGAGCCTCAGCCTAAACAAAAACATGCTTCATTAAAAAAAAAAAATACTCACTACATTTTTACTGAAATTCTTTCACAAAACATTTACGATGTATTGGTGGATACTGCTTAAACAGAGCCTCTCAAATCACTCAAGTCAGGGTGACTTTGCAGAAATAGAGAAAAACAAAAGCACATGTTAACACCACCCCCTGAATTTGGCCAATACCACTGGAGCACACTAACCCTAATGCAAAAACATCTGTACCCTTGAAAACTATTGGTCAATCTCTGACATGCCCCCTAAGCCCTTAATAATCCATCTTACACGGAGCACCACTGCGAGCATTATTTCCCCCCCAAATCATACCAGTTTGAAAAGCAGTCACCAGGTTTAACTCATAGAACTCTTCTGCAAAGGCTCAGATGTGTGGTGGTACAGAAAAGGTATATACCTTGCGGACACAGCTGAGAACATATGGCTTGCCATTGTCATCCCTGTATGCCCCCACACCCAGGTTCATTTTCTTAGAATTTGTGTCCCGTTTGTAGGCCTCTGTCACCCCCAGGATGGGATCAGGGGGTCCCATCTGCCCCTCAGTCCACCATGAGCTAAAAAAAAAAAAAAAAAAGACCATAAAAAATTGAGAAAAGAGATCAAATTAAACTATTCAGCCTTGCCTGTGGTGATCAAACTGTATGTTGAAAATACACTATATACACCCAGCTCCCAAAAAACAATTAAGTACGGTAAATCAGGTAATCCACAAACTTGACCCCAAATTAATTATTGTTCTTTACTGGTTTTCTTCCTTTTCTTTTATTCCATTAAATCCTTTACTTAATTCCCTTAATTAAAAGAGACCATTACTATCCATCCTCTCTACCAAAAAAAAAAAAAAAAACTGGTTTGTTCCCCTCCAATGTTCAAGACATGGTTAAGGTCTTGCAATAAAACATGCACATTAATGGCTACATTTCAAAGCACAAGCGAGTTTCTGCACACTTATACTCCAGACAAACAAATACAATTAAGTCACTACCTTGTTGCTAAGCAACAACAAACTACTGATGCCATTCATGATACTATCGTATGCTCTTCTATATCTTCTATATCGTTGCATGTTCAGTAAAGTATTCATTTGAGGTCGTGCACAGTCCTGTGGCGTCAAAGGTCAGCTCTGGAATCAAGTTGCAAAACCTCCTACTGCATAGCTTGTGTGTCACAGCTTATTTACTCTAGGTGTGTTAGTGTTTTTTAATACAACTTTGACTTAGTAGCTGACATTACTTAGGAGCGTTTTTTTGTTGCATAAATTAGACTCTAGAAGACAATTAAAAACACAAGCTGTACAAAAGCTCAGTTTATATGAGCAAGTAGCAGTGACCATTGAGAAATGTATTCAGGTGTTAAAAAACGGAAGTGGGCCTTGAAACCCTTCTAAGTTAACCATCAAATACGTAGATATGAGGCTATTTGGTGTGGCATTAGTGGCTGTGTTACTTCAAAAAAACTTCGTAATGTACTAAACAAAGATTATTAATCTTCTGTTCATCATCAACTCTGCTTTGCCCTCCAACCGTGGTGTAAAAGGACACATACTACCATGATTTCTTGACGAAGAACCCGGAAGCATCAGGGCCAATCAGAAAGCGCAACCTGCTCGTTTCACCCAATGAGCGCACAGGAAACCTTCGAATGCGAGTCATTTATTCAGTACACAAGATACAAGGTATTAACCTATGTCCGTTAGTATAGAGTAACGGACAGCTCTTACCAAGAAATAATGCAGAATACGAAAAGCAATGCTGGCTTATACAAGATGACGGTCAGAGCGATGCTGAATGATTCGTGTAGTAATCATGGTAGAGATGCGCTGCACATTATTTAAATCTATCTGATCCATTAGCTGCTAGAAATTGGTTTGAAGAGGATCATAAAGTCAGCCTGTAACACAGATATCTCGCGAAACCGACATTATCATGAGCTGCGGAGTGTTTTTCACAGCATGAACTCCATGTGCCATGCGCGTGCGTGATCGTGAAACTCTGATGGCGTGAACTGTAAAAGTGAATTTATCCCATTAATATTATTGTGATAGACTAAAGAGGGTCAAAAACATTTTTCATTCCGCATGTATTAAACTTCAATTTAAAGTAATTCAGTCTCTTAAAAATAGTCACAGCATACTTATTTGAAGTTCCCTTACCTGGCTCGAATGGGTAGGGTTGCCAAAGACGGCCTCAAACTCCCAACAGAGCATATGAACTTGGACGTTTTGAGGAGAGCCATTGCTGCTGCTGCTGTCGGCTGAAGCGCTGAGTGGAAAGGAGCAAGAGTGCGTGTTCATGAAGAAAAATGCCGAGTGACAGCTCCATCTAGAGGAAGGTGGATGATCTTCTTCTTCTTCTTCTTTAAATTTTATTGGCGGTTGGCAAACCAACTGAAAGGTGCATTTACCGCCACCTACGGGACTGGAGCGTGGGAGGAAGGTGGATGATGAGTACAGAATGCTGGATAAAACCAATAGTATGTCGAGATTTGAGTTGGTTTTTGACACTGAATTACTGTTGGGTTCACTGTAGGGTATTTTAACCATATGATACCAATTAGCCTAATAGTTATTAGTACTAATGGCGATTTGAAACGATATATGAAAACAACTGAAGGGTCCAAAAACAGTTACTGATGTATTTCACACACAGTTGTCAATATCAGCTATTATAAGTGCAGCCTGTGTAGATTTCATGTGTGCATTTTTACATGGCTTATGAAAATAGTTACATGACTAGAGATGTTTCAACTTTACGATAAATTGCTTGTTTGAATGGTTGTATGGCACATTATGTTCCTCATTTGTAAGTCACCTGATTGATGTCAATGTGTCAAAGCTCCGTCGAGAAACACTGCATATTTAGATCGTTTTGTCATATTGTTTGTCTTATGAAGGATACTTTTATACTAGACTAGCATGTATTTCACTACTTAGATGACAAGTGTTTCGTTAAGATAGTGGATTAACATTTCTTTGTTACATTTTATAACATTTATTTAGAACATTAACATTACCTCACTATATTACATTTAAATTATTAGTTAGAAAGTCTGAAATCAGTAGGGTAAGATGAGAGAAGTTGCATGACTGATGCAACTTGTACAGGATGATGCATCAGTCATAGGTCAATTTACACACACACACACACACAGAGACAGACACACTCTCACACACACACACACACACACACACACACACACACACAGACAGACAGTCTGGTTAACTATCCTTGTGGGGACTCCCCATAGGCATAATGGTTTTTATACTGTACAAACTGTATTTTCTATCACCCTACTACACCAACCCTACACCTAAACCTATCCCTCAAAAAAACTAATTCTGTATGATTTATAAGCTTCTGTACCCATGGGGACCTCAATTTAGGTCCCCACGGTGACACAAGTCCCCATGAGTTGGTGTGTATATTCAGGTTTAAGTCCCCACCAGTATAGAAAAAACATGTACACACACGGGCACGCACACAGGCACGCACACACACACACACACACACACACACACACACACACACACACACACATGTTGGGTTTCCATGTTTTATTGGGAAATTCCATAGACATAATGGTTTTTATACTGTAGGTACAAACTGTATTTTCTATCCCCTTGCCCCAACCCCAACACCATCCCTAAACCTATACACCTCACACAAAGGATTTTCAAAAAAGATCATTATGATTTATAAGTTTTCCTCATGAGGACCAAAAAATGTTCTCACAAGGTCAACATATACTGATATTACTATCCTCGTGGGGACATTTGGTCCCCATAATTCAAACTGAATGACTTAATTAGCTTCTATGAAATCATTCATTTTTCAACAAAACCTATGTTTTAATAAACAACGACGATATCTGACGTAACATAGAAATAATACAGGATGTGGCATCTTGACCCAATTTCTTCTTTTCTCTTTAAACACACACTCTCAGGTTTAGCTGGTGTGTTTACGTGATTTAAATGTGGGCGTTCTGCACGCAGGAGATAAATGACATGAAACCAACGTTGACGTTGGACAGGTAATTGGGCATGACGTCACACGATTAGCGGCGCCGCAAAAAGGTTGTCGCGTTCAGGTTGAATTCCGCCCGCTGATTGTCTTAGACGATGGAAGCCTTTCATGTGGCACTCGTCCGTACGAGGGGCTGAACATGAAGGCTATCAGCAGTCACGACTGTCTGAGACTCTGCGTACTGTCGTGTTTGTTTGTCCTGCACATATCTACGCGCGTGGCCGGAAACATGGCCTCTCCGTCACATTTTGGCGTCGCCAGTACAGAAGTTCGCCGAAATCGACACCCAAAACAGAAGAACTCTTATTTTAGACCTTTCCTAGAAAGCCAAACTGAAGATGAAGCTACGCGACTCATGTTAAGTCTATACAGGACAGCGGCGGATGCAGATGGACGACCAAAACAGCACAAGTTATTTGGGTCCAACACTGTAAGGCTGCTTCAAGCGTCCACCACTGAAAAGCACTTTCTCCCGACATCAAGAGGTAAACACTCTTATCTCATCCTTTACAAGTACATCTAGAGCACATTATGCCTTATGTTATAGAAGAAATGCTTAGAGTCCTTGTCTGCACTTTTAAAAATGTAAGTTTTATTGTTCCATGAAGAACCTTTAACGTCTTTGGAACCTTTTCATTGCACAAAGAGTTCTTTATAGTGGAAATATCGGTTTCAGATGATTAAAATATTCTTCACACTCAGAAAAAAAATGTTCTTTTAAGAACTGTTCACTGAAAGGTTCTTTTGGGAGCCCAAAATGGTTCTTTTATGGCATTGCTGCCTGAAAACCCCTTTTGTAACCTTTATTTTAAGATGTGTTGTGCAGTGTAGCCCTTAAATTACTGAAAGAACTATCAGAAGTATATTTTTAAATATTTAGGTCTATTGTCTGATTATTTCTTGTCTTTGTCTCTCTCCAATCTGTAAAACCTACTGGACTAGACCTTCAGTATACCTACACAGTGAAATATGAACTGAAAAACCTCTTGTTGGACAAATTGGTGAGGGCATCTTTTATGCACCTAAGGTCGCCTGTGTCATCGCATCTTCCTTTTATCTGTGAGGCAAGAGTCACGTCACCTCAAGATCTTCCTGCTGGTGACCGTGTCATCATGGGTCCTCGAAGCCTGTGGGCCGAATCCAATGTCACAAACCATGTGTCCGAGTCGAAAGATGGCCATGTATCCCTCTTTGCCCATTATCGATGCACACAAGAACATGCCAGGTCCTTTAAACATCGAAAACACTTCCCACCTCAACACCATCTTCAAGCTCCTGTTTTGCTGCTCTTCTTGGAGGAGAACAAGCAGCCTGTGGAATGGGGAAAGTACTTCACACCCCTTCCCCGCCCCAGGACCCGTCGGTCTAGGGAACCTGGGAGCATCGTCTCTGACATCCCCAACTACAAGCAAGGGCCGAACAGCATGGCCAAAAACCAGTGCAAGCTGCACTCCTACCATGTGGCCTTCAAAGATTTGGGATGGGACCACTGGATCATTGCACCCCACAAGTACAATCCTCGTTACTGTATGGGAGACTGTCCTCGTATCCTGCATTACGGCTACAATTCACCCAACCACGCGATCATGCAGACGTTAATCAGCGAGCTTGGTGTGGCAGATATTCCATTGCCCTCTTGCGTTCCTTATAAATACAAACCTGTCAGTGTGCTGATGATGGAGAGGAATGGAAACATAGTTTATAAAGAATACGAAGACATGATTGCAGACTCCTGCACCTGCAGGTGACTTTGGGCTCAGGGTTAGATAAGGACAAGAACTGAATGGTCCTAAAGGACATTGTGAATTTGTACCAGCACAATTGGAGGACTAAGATGAAAGGAATGGCTATATTGGGTATGATTTGCCTGTTGCCATTTCTTGTGCAGTGCTAACAGCATTCACACAGCGAGGTTTCTGTTAGACTTGAATTGTGGAGAGTGATCAATTCAGTCTCATCTCTCGCAGTACCTGAATTTTTGGGGATGTAGGTATGAAGAAGTGGATTCTGATTGTTAAATGAATGAGCTACTATCATGTATTTTTTTTCTTTTCTATTTACTCTTTGTCTATGTATGTTCTTTGGTTTCTGTCTAGTGTGTATTAATGTTACATCTTTCATAATGTATTTATGTAGGGGAATGGAGTAGGAAAATGTTGGCACTTTGAGGACACTGTACTGAAAAGTCTGTCTAAAGAAAATAGGAAAATGGAGAAGAAAAAAAAAATTAAGCATGAAAGAGCCCTGTCTGATGACTTATAGGCTTTAGTGTTGTTGCTTTTTCCTCTTTTGTCTGTTGCATTTGTGTTCTCTTTCTGAATGCACAGATTTTGCCAATATTTCACAAAGGGCACAGCATTCGAATGCAAGTGGAGAAAAGGAGCAGATGCCAATTTTGCACTACCTCAAAGAAGACATCCAGTAAGAGATTGAAAAAGAGACTTTCATAGATGTATTTCTTAGAGGAGAAATGAAAATCTATGCACCTAAATGAATGTTTTAATCCCATGATGAAAGATGATGAAATAAAGTAGTTATTTTGTATTTAAAAAAAGCAAATTTACACATGCTTTTATGTGGTCATTTGTCTCTCTGTTGTGTGGTTCTAGTTAGATTTGTTCAGTAGAGGGCGCTCTTTCCCAGCTGTGCTTCAGCTCTAGTAAATATCGGGAGTCTGCATGAATGCTGGTCTGAACTGGCTTCTTTGATGTTATAGAGCTGGTGTAAAGGTGGGTGAAAGTTCATTCAGAAACCTATGCAAGTGTTCAGGCTTCAGCAATATCAGGACAAGATGTTGACATTGGAAGAATGTTTTGAACATCCTTTTGTCAGTCTTCATAATGTTATAATGCCTATAATATTGTGTACCAGAAAACCACTGATTTAAAAGAATTAGGAATATAGGCAAAAATTTGTCTATGGCATTTTTGACATGGAAGATGTATGTGTTAATTGCTGTGGACCCTGTGTATTCAGTACCTTTTTAATAGTTTGGGTCCCATAATGATTTTTGAAGTCTCATATGCTCACCAAGGCTGCATTTATTTGATTGAAAATGTTTTTAAAATATAATTTGTTCCTGTGATGGCAAGGCTGAATTCTCAGCCGGTCTTCAGTGTCACGTGATCCTTCAGAAACCATTCTAATATGCTGGTCTGTTACTTAAGAAACGTGTTGAAAACACTTGTGCTGCTTATTTTTGTGGAAACTTTAATGTGTCTTTGCTGAAAAAAAATTCAATTTCTTAAAAAAAAAATCTTGACCCAAATACTGACCCTAAGTTTTGAATGGTAGTGGATAAATTCTACCAAATAAGAAATGAACAAAGAAAGAAGAATGAAATAAAAATGTTATGTGATGCAGTGAATTGTTAAACCAGCAAAAGTTATGTGTAATCTTTATATAATAATAAAATATCAATATTTGGTAAAAACAGTCACTGTATCCACATTTGATTACACTAGTGTTCCATTTCCAGTCTATATTAAGAAGTGTATATAATATATAGTATATTATATACTTGTGAGTATAGATTGGAAATGGTCTTTGCAGTTTGATGATATTTAGAGCTCCTTGAGTCCTTTGACGACTTTGAATTGTTTTGTTGTAGTCAATGCTACATACATACATACATACATACATATACACACACATACAGTATCTCACAGAATTGAGTACACCCCTCACAACTTCCAGTGACCAGTATGAGAGAGTGAGAGCGATAACACCAAATTTAACACACCTGCTCCCCATTCACACCTGAGACCTTGTAACACTAATGAGTCATATGACACCGGGGAGTGAAAATGGCTAATTGGGCCCAATTTGGACATTTTCACTTAGGGGTGTACTCACTTTTGTGGCCAGCGGTTTAGACATTAATGGCTGTGTGTTGAGTTATTTTGAGGGGACAGCAAATTTACACTTATACAAGCTGTACACTCACTACTGTACATTGTAGCAAAGTGTCATGTCTTCAGTGTTGTCACATGAAAAGATATAATAAAATATTTACAAAAATGTGAGGGGTGTACTCAGTTCTGTGAGATACTGTATGTGTGTGTGTGTGTAAACATTCCACAATTCAGTAAAGATTCTGGTAAAAAGATTCTCAATGCATTAACCAGCAAAAGTGTATTTAAAATTGTGCATGTTCAATGCTGTCAGGAGCACATTCAGTGGCCTCCTGTTATCGAAAAGTGGGGCAAAGTGGCACAATTCACAGAACAAGCATAACTCAATAAAGAACTAAAGAATGTTCTACACTGCTTTACCCTATAGCAAACATTAAATCAGAAAACCTGGAAGAAGGGGGACGACAACAGTGCACCACAGAACTGTGAAAAAATGGCTGAAGAATCTGTGAGCTGCAGGTAACCTGAGAAGAACATAAGAGCTAAATTTAGCAGCTCCACAGTGTCCCAGTGGTAGAAATGATCACAACCACTGTTAAAATACGGCGGTAAAGTTAGTTTGACGTTTGACATTCATTAGACATTCGGGTTTTTTTGCCAATTAAACTCTTTGCAGCTTTTATGTTTTGAGCCCAAACTAACTCAGATAGACATAAATATATGCCCTTTATGTTGCACAAGGCTTAATTTCTAGGAATTAAAAAAAATTTAACCATTTAAATTAATTAAACAATTTAACTACATGACATTATAATATAAAACCAATACTAAAGTGTTCGGGAAAACATATCTGTTATCGCACAAAGCTCCGTTTTTGGAATTACAATTTTATGTTTTTTATAATACACACACATACATATATATATATATATATGTATGTGTGTGTGAGTGTGCTTGTGCGTACGTATGTATATACATATATATATATACATACACACATACATACATATATGCATGTATGTATGGTGTTCCAGTTTAATGTATTGAAATGGGTTCCAGGACAGTCTAAAAAAAATTAAAAGTTCAGTTCTCTATATGAAAAAACATCAGATTAATGATCTGAAAAATATACAGCTGGTGTGATATCTTTATCTTAAATGGTGTTCAAGTTTACAGTACTGTAAGTGGGTACAGTATATAAAACATGAAAAATATGGTTTCAGTACTATATAAAAATTTAAGTGGGTACAGTATATAAAACATATGAAAAAAATATGGTTTCAGTACTATATATAAAAACAATAAAGGCATAATCTGAAAAA